TTATCTGAAGCTCTGACTGATCAGTAATCACTGTAATACTGTATATATATGTTATTTTACAATTTATTAATTGCATTTAAGATATTTAATTAAAATGAAGAAGAGGTGTTAATTAAGTCTAGGATTGATATTTAAATTTGAAACCACGCATGGATGATATTTACAGCATTGAGTTGTAACCACAGTTGAAGTCAAACCATATTTCATATATATATATATTTATCAACTGAATTGACTAATCGATTTATCGATTGTCAGATCTTATCTAAATCTAGCTGTGTATACCATCCACTCCTTGATCTCTATCTTATCCGGGACCTCTACAAAATCAGCCAACTGGAAAGCTCGGACTTTAATAATTTGGACCACTCGTACAATTTTTTGTTCAAATATATATGCATAAAATCAACGATCTATACTGATCATAATTCATCACTACTTTGATCTTTCATCTCTGATGGCCTCTTCTGTAGCCACTATTGGTTCGACGATATACGCGGCACCGGTATCTTCCTTTCCCGCCATTTTCAATTTTGTCATCATTTCTATTTGTAAAATCGCTGATCCTGCGTCTATATATGCAGTTGAATTTACACGGTTCTGGATCTGGAGCATCTACTCAAAACTCCGCCTTCTTCGGAGTGAGTTTGAAGAAGGTGAACCCCAGCACGAATTTTAGTTACGACCATGGGAGAACATGTACACCCTCCCGGAACATGAAGGTCATGGCTTCAGACTCGGACGATCTAGATGAGAGCAAACAGACCAGGAAGGACAAATGGGGACATCTGGCCTTTGACATGTCTGATGATCAGCAAGATATCACGAGAGGGAAAGGAATGGTGGACAGTCTCTTCCAAGCTCCATCAGGCGCCGGAACCCACGACGCCGTTATGAACTCCTACGATTACGTGAGCCAGGGTCTGCGCAGTTATGATCATATGGACAACATGAAAGATGGGTATTACATAGCTCCAGCCTTCATGGACAAACTCGTTGTCCACATCTCAAAGAATTTCATGACACTGCCTAACATTAAGGTAAACCCATCGATCGATTAATTCATTGATTTTACAGTGTTCGATACGCTATTGATGTACGTTAATCGATCATACGCACCAAGATTAGATTCCTCTCATTTTGGGATTGTGGGGAGGCAAAGGTCAAGGAAAATCGTTTCAGTGTGAGCTCGTTTTTGCCAAGTTGGGGATCAAGTAAGTCGATCGATCGATCGCCGGAAATTCAGATCTAGTTTAATTGATTATTTTTTTTTTTTTTTTTGTTACATATATCATTTTATAATATTACATCTATATATACAGTCCGATCATGATGAGTGCTGGGGAATTGGAGAGTGGCAACGCCGGAGAGCCAGCTAAGTTAATCAGACAAAGATATCGTGAGGCGGCGGACATAATCAAGAAAGGCAAGATGTGCTGTCTGTTCATCAACGATCTCGATGCAGGAGCAGGAAGAATGGGCGGCACGACTCAATACACAGTCAACAATCAGATGGTCAATGCAACTCTGATGAACATCGCCGACAGTCCTACCAACGTACAACTTCCCGGTATGTACAACAAACAAGAGAACGCACGCGTTCCCATCATCGTCACTGGAAACGATTTCTCCACACTCTACGCTCCACTTATCCGAGACGGTCGTATGGAGAAATTCTACTGGGCGCCCAATAGAGACGACAGAATCGGCGTGTGCACTGGTATTTTCCGATCCGATAATGTGGAAAAGGATGACATCGTCAAACTCGTTGATACCTTCCCCGGTCAATCCATCGGTACGTACGTAAACGTAACTAGATACATACATACATACGATCGATCGATATATCTCTGTATCTCTCTACATATATCTAATTCGATCTCGAAATTTGCTAGATTTCTTTGGAGCTCTGAGAGCCAGGGTTTATGATGACGAGGTCCGGAAATGGGTGTCCGGGATCGGAGTATCGGACATCGGGAAGAAACTGGTGAATTCAAAAGAAGGCCCACCGTCGTTCGAACAGCCGAAGATGACATTGGATAAACTTCTAGAGTATGGAAACATGTTGGTCCAAGAACAGGAGAATGTGAAGAGGGTGCAATTGGCCGACCAGTACTTGAGCTCCGCCGCTCTCGGAGACGCCAATGCAGATGCTATCAAAGCGGGTAAGTTTGATTCTTAATTTTCTTCTTCTTCAAACGAAACAAATACATAGTATATAAAATATTTTCTCTGTACCTTGTTAATATAATCAATAACTATATATTATTGAAGTCAATAACTAGTTTATCAAATTATTATTTATCTAGTTACAACCCCAATAGATTAGTTAGTTACTCTATATAAATATATACTTGTAATAAATTCTAACCTTTCCGCTGCTTATTTTTCCAATATACAAAAAAAAACAGAAAACCCTAATTTTCAAATCGTATCATCTAACGAACCGAACCAATCATTTTAATATTAGATTACGTACATTAAAATTAGAATTTTAAAACTCCAATCATTTTAATAGTGTCTATTAGACTATTCAAATAATTGAGAAACCGAATAAATACTATAGTTAGGGTTGAACCCAATAGTCCATGTTAAAATAGGCAGCCCACTTTCTGAGTTTCGTAGCAAACCCCACCCACTGTTGAATGAAGAATTCAATGGGAGTGTAGTAGGATGAGGATCACCCTTCATTTAATTTGACTGCTAGTTTGACTAATAAGTGTGATTAGGTTTTCTTAATTATCCAGTGGTTTGCCTTTACACCGAGATATTAGAAAAGAAAAAATAAGTGGGTCCTACAACCCACTGAGAAATTGAAATAAAACCACACACGAGTACCCGACACACCACATTTCCAATTTCACACACAATACAATGTCAGACACTGTCGTCACTTCTCTTTGCTTGTTTTTCTTCTTCGTCTCAACGGTTTTCGCCCAACAAGAGGCATTCGTCTACGACGGTTTCCGTCGAACTGTCAACACGACATCATCGTCGACGCTCATCAACGCCGATACCGCCACGGACAAGATCGACTTGAATGGAATCTCTCAGATCCAACAAAACGGAATCATCCGTCTCACCAACGACACTCGTCGTCTTATCGGCCGCGCTTTCTATCCCTCTCCTCTCCGCTTCAAAAACTCCACGGACGGTCGTGCTTTTTCCTTTTCCACTTCCTTCGTCTTCGCAATCGTCCCGGAGTACCAAAAACTCGGTGGACATGGTCTCGCTTTTACGATAGCCAACTCGCCTGATCTCCCCGGCGGCTTGCCGAGTCAGTACCTAGGGTTGCTAAATGCCAGCGACGTCGGGAACTTCTCCAATCATCTATTCTTTGTGGAGTTCGATACTGTGCAGGATTTCGAGTTCCATGACATCAACGACAATCATGTTGGAATCAACGTCAACAACATGAGATCTAATGCTTCGGAGGATGCCGCTTACTACGATGATCGGAATGTCAGACAACACATCAACCTCAAGAGTGGGAAAAGGATCGTAGTCTGGATCGACTATGATGGACTCGGAAAATTACTTAATGTCACCATTTCTACTTCTTCGTCTAAACCCTCCAGACCTTTGATCTCGTTTGGGTTAGATCTAACCCAAATTCTGCATGAAGTCATGTATGTTGGCATCTCCAGCTCCACGGGTCTTCTCGCCAGTTCCCACTATCTATTCGGTTGGACCTTCAAGATGAATGGTGAAGTGGAGTCTCTCCGACTTTCAACACTCCCGTCTCTTCCTGTACATGAGAAGAAAAACCTGGCAGTCATCATTGGAGCCCCGGCAACTGCCTTGATTGTAATACTCGCTGCAATTATATTAACAGGATACGTTTGGTATAGGGTCAAGATGGCGGACGTCATCGAGCCATGGGAGCGCCAATACGGCCCTCATCGCTATTCCTACAAGGAGCTCCGAAAAGCAACCAGCGGTTTCAGTGACAATGATCTCTTAGGGTTCGGTGGCTTCGGAAAGGTTTACAAAGGTACGCTTCCAAAAACTAAGGTCAAAGTTGCGGTCAAACGTATCGCCCGTAATTCTCGACAAGGGTTGCGCGAATTCGTAGCAGAGATTGCGAGCATCGGACGGCTCCGGCACCGGAATCTTGTACAACTCCAAGGATGGTGCCGGAGACGAGAAGATCTCTTGCTAGTTTACGACTACATGGAAAATGGAAGTCTAGACACGTTTCTATTTGATCAAACTGACTTAAGCGTCGGTGGGAAGAAACCTCTACTTCCGTGGTGGCAGAGATTCCATATTCTCCGGGGAGTAGCTTCGGCTCTCTTTTACCTCCACGAGGAATGGGAGCACGTGGTGATCCACCGAGACGTGAAGGCCAGCAACGTCTTACTTGACTCTGAGATGAACGGCAAACTCGGCGACTTTGGACTGGCGAAGCTGTACGAGCATGGTGCTAATCCAAGCACCACCCGTGTCGTCGGAACTCTCGGATACCTCGCTCCGGAGACGACCCGAAGCGGTAAGGCAACTACAATATCCGACGTGTTTTCCTTCGGAGCACTGATGCTCGAAGTTGTCTGTGGGCGGAGACCCATCGAACCAAAAGCTCCACCGGAGGAACTTATTCTCGTCGACTGGGTGTGGGAGAAATATGCAACTGAGAAATGGGAGGAAGCAGTAGACCCAAAACTCGCCGGCATTTATGAAAAAGAAGAAGTAGAGACGACGTTGAAAGTTGGGTTGATGTGTTCCCATCCATCGCCGGCATTCAGGCCGACAATGAGCGAAGTAATTAGGTATCTGAATGGAGAGGCTACCATACCGGAAAGTATCAGAGCACCGGAGCTTTACAGGGCTAAACCAGAAGAGGGGTTCGATGCTTACGCACATTCCTTAACATCCAGCGCCTTTAACAAAATGGTGACTTACAATAGCATGACAGAAGTAAACAGTATGAGTAGAAGTCAAGATTCGCCAATCGTCTCATTATATTAGATTTTCGAACACTCATATTTTAAAAGAAATCAGTCGTTATCGTATAGTGGTAAATATTCCCGTCTGTAACGCGGGTTATGCGGGTTACCCGGGTTCGATTCCCGACAGCGGTGATTTTACATTTTTCTATATTTTAATTTTTTACTTAACCTACTAGTCTACCACGAGTCCACGACTACAAGCTAAACGATTAATAAATATAATAAAAGAATATAAATTATTATTCTTGCTTTAAAATTTAAGTCTTAAAGATTAAAATTAAAGGTGGGAACGGGCAGCAGATCCGGAGGCACCTATTCTCACCTCCACATTATTTATAACGGGACAGTTTTCCAGGTTGAGAAAATCCCGCAGTTTCTTTCTCCTTTTTTTCTCACTTGGTGTTTTTTCGATATCAACTGCAGATAAACAATACCGTGGCAAAATTTCGTCATCGGGATTAATTTGCAGAAAAAAGAAGGAAAATTACATGACATTACATTTTCTAGAGGACTCTCGTCGGTAGACGTCAGGATCTACGGTAACAGACCGTTTGATGAACGTACAAGACGAGTTCGCCGGAGTTATGATAGATTTGCATCTCGGGCATGACCACATTGACTCTGATTGCTGTTCCGATTCCTTAAAACTAGCTGATTCGTCCTGATCTGACTTGGATGAGATCAATGGGTAATGATCTGCTGGAACTGAGGTTGCCGTCCGAATATGAGGCATCGTCGATACGGGAAGAGGTGGTGTATCCGATTCCTTCGATTCCAGTAACCCCAACGCATTTGTATTTTTTCTCGGGCTGATAGTTTCCGTTATTGCCTGCAAAAGCGCTTTTTCGTCATCTCCCGGTTCTAATTTTTGAAGAATGTACTCTTTCACCGTCAAACTTCGTTTCAATATTTGGTTCCCATTCTCATTTTTTTTATCCTGCAAAATATCCGCCGGAGTGCTCTGTTGTATCTTGAATGCAAACATTGCATATGCTGGCATCAAGATTTCGGAAAATGTTCTTGTCAGTGACGATTTCCATTGCATGTCATTTGCATCATTTTTCTTTGAAATTGAAGAATCATTTGCAGAATCAATAGAAAAATCGGAGGTTGACGGCTGAATTAGGTCGGGATCAATGCCAGGCTTCTGTTTAAAATCTCTATAAATATCTGGCGCCTTCTCGGATTCATACACTGCATAGAAGAAATCAAAATCGACGGCATTGCTGTTTACGTTGTTTCTAAAGAAAATGGAATCATAAAATTACTTGGGGCTCCATAGAACTCAGGATACTGTTCTTCGTATTCATCAGGGTCCGAATCTTTTTCCTTCACCTGACTGTCCCATAAAGAAGGTACTCCTCCTACATTTTCATGTTTTTTGCTTCGCATAAATATTTTCCATTTCTTCACTTTCATCTTCATATTCACAACCATAGATTTCTTGTCTTCTCGACCACGGTCATCGTAAGAGTATCGTCCGGCGCGCTTCATCTTCCGAAAAAAACACCGGAGATTACCGGAGTTATCTCCGTAGTTTTCTTATCTGGTGTTCTAAATTTAGAGTCGATGGTTAGTTAATCCAGAGACAAATTTGGAAAACATATATAAACCATAGATTCTTTCTTTTTCCATTAAGACCCGATTCTACTCAATCCCGGTTTTTTTTTGATTCCTTTCTCATCCATAAATCTGTGGATCAGGGCTGCTTTACTCCAATGACTTTTCCCAGCAAACACATTTGACAGCAGTGCATAAGGAGAACAATCATCTGGGCAGAGTTTCAGAAGTCCACCGGCAGCTCGCCGTCCTATCTCCACGTTTCCATGAACCATGCAAGCACTGAGCAAAGCTCGATAAACAGATGGACCTGGTTTAAATGGCATGTCATTCATCAATGCCTCAGCTTCATCAAGATAACCGGCTCTACCCAACAGATCAATCATACAACCGTAATGTTCTATTTCAGGTGTGCTAGAAATCATCTGTTTCATCAGTTGGAAATATCGGATACCTTTTTCGACGTACCCAGCATGGCTGCAAGCCGATAATACTGACAGAAATGTGGTTTTGTCGGGCTTCATATATGTTTGTAGTAACATTTTGTCGAACAGTTGAACTGCGACCTCTCCGCGCCCTTGATGTGCGTATCCAGACAGAAGAGAATTCCAAGAAACCAAATCGGGTTGTTCCATTGAGTAGAATACGATCTGAGATTCCGCAATGCCGCCACATTTGCCGTACATAGAGATGAGCCCATTTCCAACACAGATGGAGCATCCAAATCCGGTTTTCAGACACAATCCGTGAATCTGAGTGCCTATGTCAAGAGCTGAAAGGGCTCCAATGGCCTTCAAAAGGCTGCCAAATGTGAAATCATCAGAGGATACATTTTGCGTTCTTCTCATTTCGACAAATCTGTCCAAAGCTTCAGAGTTTCTTCCCATGTTGACGAGCCCAGTAATCACTGAGTTACGTGAGACCAAGTCGGTGGATATGTTAAAGTTCTTAGCAATCTCGGCGAAATCGGCCGATGCGGCACACTTGGAATACATTGTGGTGAGAGCAGTGGAAACGTAAGGATTGGATTCTAGACCTTGTCGGACGATGACGGAATGGATTTGTCGTCCGTACCTCAATTCTTCAAATCCACAGAATGCAGTTAGAACAGTGGTGCACGTGACGGCATTTAATCGAACATCTGATGATCCCATCATCATTTTAGTCAGGTACATAACTTCGTCGGTACCCTTTCCCATGGCAACATACCCATCGATTAATGAAGTCCACGTGAGGACATTCCGTTCCTCCATCTCCTCGAACACTCTCCTGGCTTCATCCATGTAGAAACACTTGGCGTAAGCATTGATTAATGCAGTTCCGACCACAACGTTCGACCACAATCCACGTTTCAGACTAACGGAGTGCACTGCCATTCCCATTTTTACATCACCTACAATGGCGCAGGCAGAAACCACGGAGGAGAGTGTGAAAGCAGTTGGAGACATGCCGTTGATTCCCATCTTTCCGAGCAGTTCCAAAGATGAAACTGGGAATTCAGATCGAGAATAGCCATGTATCATAGAATTCCACGCAACAACGTTTCTTATGGGCATTTCATCGAACAGGTTATCTGCGTCGAGATATCTTTTGCATTTACAATAAACATCGAGAAGGGCCGTGGCGATGTATTGATTGGAAAAGAGGAATCCGGTTTTCAAAACTTGGCAATGGATCCTTCTTCCAGCATGGGAAGATGAAGACCTAGCGCAATTGTTGAGTGCCATGACGATTTCGTAAGCAAAAGAATCTCCATAACCATTTCCAACACCGGACGATGAGATCCGGCAGTTCGTCAGATGTGCAATGGAAGGGCGGATTGGTCGTGATCGGTGGAAGAAATAGTTCATAAAAAAAAATACAGAAGAAACACTCCGGTGGATGACGAGTGGTGTCAGAAATCTGTACTCGACAACTGTAGGCCGTACAAATCTGTACATTATTTGGTTATAAATAGGGCAATTTTGAGGGTTAAAAGAAAGAAACGGAGCGAGATAGATCGATCATCCGAAGAAGGGGAAATCGTCTCCTCGATGCGATCCATCCTGTATCCTGTTGACGTATAATCGATACTTCTGCAAGTGACTTGCGACATTCTCCCTGGTCAAGCCGTCTACATTCATCAATCTCATGATCGTCTTAGGGACGGCGTTCTTCAACCCGAGATGCGCCACCACGTCAACGAATCTTTTGTGGAGTTGTGGCGTCCAGACCAGTCGTGGCCTCTTCGACGAAGAACCAACAACCCCTCTTTCGGCTCCTGTGCTCTCATCAACGGAATTCTCCTGATTACCACTGCCGCAAACGACGCTATTGGTATTCGATTCGAAATCCTCCGGGATTTCGTCGGAATCAGTGAATCTAGCCTTCTTAGACGATTCTGAGTACGAAACATCGCATCCTCGATCGGCGATGTCCGAAGGCGGAAGAAACGGAGAGGGGAGTAGAGACGGGAGCAGGTTGTAGGCTGCGGTTGCGGTGGTGGTTGAAGAGGAGTTAGAAGATGCCTGACAGCGTCGCAGATTGAAGAAAGTTTTTTGCGACGCGAGATTAACGTCTTGGTACGTCTTGACAGGTTTCGTCGTGACGCTGAAGGCGAAGGCCAATTGAGGAGGGAGCATGTTTTGGAATAGAGGTGTGAGGTCGTCGGCAGATGGGAGGCCCTCTTCCCATTCCAGAACTCTGTTTTCGACATCTTCATCCTCCATCGGTTGCCGGAATTGAGACATCGTCGTAGAATCTATTTAGTTTATTTTTTAGTCGAATTGAGACCTGTGGTGAAGAAAGAGTTGAGAGAATTGAGAGCCCAGAAAGGAAAGATAATTAGGAAACTACTGATTTTCATGTGGACAATTACAATTCAATGTCTACTAAAGTCTCTACAATTCATGTGGATAATTACTAAAATATCTTCCAATTCTAAAGTCAACGTCACTCTTTTTTAGAATCGTTTTAAATTGTTTAGTGTTTAGAATTCTAAAGTGTTTAGAATCATTTTCCATCCAATTTCAATATAGAATTCTAAAGTGTTTATTATTAAAGGAATTATTAGTTAATCAAGATCACCAGACTCATAGATAAACAGAGTCTGTGATTATAAAGCCAATTACAAACAAAACTGCTGTAAATAGGCAGTCTGTAATTGGAGAACCTAAAGCAAATAAACAATATAAATAAAACTTTTAACTAATTCTTCATTGAGCCTTACTGTGCAGGCAAATTAACCAAGATACACAAAAGCATTTTAATAAAGTCGAAGGTTGAATTTGCAAAAGTTTCGATAGAATGAATGAGCCAATTCTATGTCGTGTGGGCTATAAGAAGTGGGCCGATTTAGTTAAATTGTTTTAGTTTATTAAATTGTTATAAATAACTAATGATGTAATAAACTCAATTTAATTCAAAGTGAATGTAAAACACGTCTCCTAATTACATTCGCACTAACTGCTCTCAAGTGGCAGTTAACACAGTAAACCCTAAGTTCTTCCCTCTTTCTTTCCTCTCCCCCGCGTCCGGCCAAATCTGGCAAGATCAGAGCGCAATCAACTTGTCGTTGTCATAGAAACACCGGC